GGGGCTGGATTCCCCCCTCCCTGCTCCGATCCGCCAGCGCTGACTGGCGGAACGGACGGGGGAGGGTACAGCTGGCTCTGCCTCTAGATAGGCAGAGCCAGCTGTCAGTCACGCAGCTGGGCGGATCCAGACATAATTGTTGGGATCCGCTTCAGCTGCGGCGTCTCAGTATACTGGGAGCTACAGCTCGCGGTATACTGAGCTTAGGGTGACGGGAGAACGCTAGTTTGTGTCCTCCCGTTACCCTAAGGAGAACTATGGGGAAAAGCCTTCTCCTTTAACTACGTAATAATGCTGAACTGAAACTTCTGCTAGCGAGGATAAAAAAAAATAAAAGTGTCATGAAATGTTCTCATCATCAATTTCCTCCACATGTAGCAGCGCGGCACACAGAACTTCTGTAGGAACACGGCTCCGAATACACCAAACTATGTCAAACATCAGGACAGCGACTTCCTGAGAGGAAATTCTCAAACTGATAGAATTCTAGAGACTATGAATAAACACAACCAACACCACGAGCAAAGACTTCACATCCAGCGGCAGCTTAATGGAACCTAACTAAAAGTATAGTAAAGTCACATAAGACATTGTTTTAAGATCTGGATAGAGTGGTGAGAGGTTAGAACCACTGTCTGGTTTCTATTGCTGTCAGTGTCCTCGGCCGGGAGTGTCACACTCTCATCAATGTCACTCTGTGAGGTGAAAGGGAAATAATAATAAATCCACTTCTTCATAAAAGGAAAAAATGTGCATTTCTTATTGTTCTGCTTTGAAGCCAGTACAGAACTGCAACCCCGGACGGCAGGTGCAATGCTCTGACTCCTGCAGACCCATCCATGTCTGTACCGAGGTATGGACATACAGCAATATGGACAGAAGGAAGAATGAATGGACTACAAGTGAAGTGACTTCACAGAACTTGTATTCCATTGAGAAGTCCCTCTGATGGGTCATTTCTCCCTTCATAGCTCTTGCCAAAGGATCTGTGAAAAGATGACGGGGCTGTGTGGGCAGTGCCATGCTGAATTAAAGAAATCAACACAAGCCTGCGGGGAGAAGATCCCGGTGATACAGGTAAGGGGGAGTGCAAACTTATGCTGAATTAAAGAACTATGAGGTGAGTGATTTTCACTCATCCTCATAGTTCGAGCCGAAGTGTGACAATTAAACTGTCACACATCGGCTCAATAGATCGGGAAGTGAGAGAACACATACCGTCGCTTGCTCATTTCTCGATCATGTACCTGCAGAGAGCCGTGACTGTCACTCACGGCTCCCTGCCGGGATTCCCCCCCCTCTCCGCTCCCACCCTCCAGCGCTGACTAGCGGAACAGACGGGGGAGGGGGCGGGTACAGCTGGCTCTAGCTGGCCTCTAAATAGGCAGAGCAAGCTGACAATCACACAGCTGGGTGGATCTTGACAGTAATGTCGGGATCCATCCCGGCTGCGGCGGTCTCAGTATACCGCAAGCTGTAGCTCGCTATATACTTAGCTTTGGGTAGAGCCAGCTGTCACTCATGCAGCTGGGTGGATCTCGACAGTAAAGCTGTAGCTTGCTGTATACTGAGCTTAGGGTAACGAGAGGACGCTAGTTTGTGTCCTCCCGTGACCCTTAGGAGAACTATGGGGAAAAGCACTGACCCCATAGTTCTCCTTTAACCACCTCCGGGCCGGCCGTAGTAAAAAAACGGCCGGCCCGAGCTCTCTAGATCTGAGCGGGCGTCTTTAGTAATTTTTCCTAATTATAGTAAAAAATAAAAACCCCAGTGGTGATTAAATACCACCGAAATAAAGCTCTATCTGTCCCCAAAAAATGGTATAAAATTCATTTCAGTACAGCGTTGCATGACGGAATAAACGTCAGTCAAAGTACCGCAGCGCTGAATACTGAAAAATGGCCTGGCCAGGAAGGGGGTCTAAACACCTGGTCTTGAAGTGGTTAAAGAAATCCACACCAGCCTGTGGGGAGAAGAACCCTGGTATACCGGAAATGGGGGAGTGCGATCTGACTATGTTTCTTGTTACACTTCAAATATGGGTATAACATGAAACGTGGTCAGAAAAAGAAACTTAGATTCCAAAGTTTATCTATGGTCAAAAACTAAACTAGTATTTCTATATTGAATTTCCATACATTCTATCCCATGCCTCATATCCAGATCCATCTAGATGTTTGCAAACTTACTTATTGAAGATGTCCATATGATGGATTTCCTCAATGCACTGACACCATTTCACTCAGCCCTGTGAATATTAACTTCCTTGTGTCACCACATCATGCAACTCAACGTCTGAACAATGTAACACCATCACTGCTTGCTGGAAGCAATGCATGATGGGATGTGTAGTGTTAAGAAATGGAGATTGCATCACATCAAGCAGCAGGAAAAGAGATGCAAAGCACACTGGGAATCCAGGAAGTTGTTGGAAGTGATGGGCAGACAGAAGGCGGCACTCACTACATAAAAGGGATTGCATTCAAGTAAGCTTTGATTGCATTAGCAACAACAACTCTAGTATGTATTCATATTACAATGCTGATGTTATAACAGGAAATCCCTCTAATTAGACTCAGATGGCAAAAGCAAAACTGGCAGTGGTTTTAACCCCCCTCCCCCCACCTCTAGCCAACATAAAAAAATAAAAAGAAATTTGGCTTTAGATACACTTTAATTAAAAATAATAACAAAAATGTCCACGATTATAACTCCACTTTTCTGACGCAACCGAAACTGTTGCAATTATAACATTTATTAGCTGCAATGGAAAAACAGAGCTAATAAATGTTACGATCGCAGCGGTATCGGTTGCATCAAAGAGTGGTCTTATATTAGTAATTTCTGTTATTTTTTATAATGACGTTACAGTAAACGGCCGGTGGATTCCACTCGTAATTTCTTTGCTCTTCGTGTAGGTTGTGCTTATTTATAGTTTCTACAATTCTATGAGCTATGAGAATTTCCTCTAAGGAAGCTGCTCTCCTGCTCATCTATGACCAACGGTGGCTGGTCATAGATGTACTTCTTCAAGAGTGATACATGGGCACATACACTGATCAGTCATAACATTCTGACCAACCACCTAATATTGAGCAGGTCCCCCTTTTACTGACCCCGTCCAGACATGGATTCCACTAGACCTCTGAAGGTGTGCTGTGGTATCTGGCACCAAGCTGTCAGTAGCAGATCCTTTATGTCCAGTAAGTTGTGAGGTGATCGGCCTCCATGGATCGGAAATGGTTTTCCAGCACATCCCACAGATGCTCCATTGGGTTGAGATCTTGAGATTTTGGAGGCCAAGTCATCACCTCAAACTCTTTGTTGTGTTCCTCAAACCATTCTTGAACCATTTCTGCAGTGTGGCAGGGCACATTATCCTGCTGAAAGAGGCCACTGCCATCAGGGAATACCGTTTCCATGAAGGGCTGTACTTGGTCAGTAACAATGTTTAGGTGGGTGGTACATGTCAAAGTAACATCCACATTAATGACGGGACCCGAGGTTTCACAGCAGAACATTGCCCAAAGCATCGCACTGCCTCCGCCGGCTTGTCTTCTTTCCATAGTGCATCCTGGTGCCATCTCTTCCCCAGGTAAGTGACACACACGCACCCGGCCATCACCATTATGTAAAAGAAAAAACGTGATTCATCAGACCAGGCCACCTTCTTCCATTCCTCTGTGGTCCAACTCTGATGCTCATGTGCCCATTGTAGGCACTTTTGGCAGTGGACACAGGTTAGCATGGGCACCCTGACCTGTCTGCGGCTACGTGGCCCCATACACTACAAACTGTGATGCTCGGTGTGTTCAGACACCTTTCTATCAAAATCAGCATGGACTTTTTAGCAATTTGAGCTCCAGTAGCTCTTCTATTGGATTAGAATACATGGGCAAGCCTTCCCTCCCCATGTGCATTAACGAGCCTTGGCAGCCCATGACCCTGTCGCCAGTTCACCGGTTTTCCTTCTTTAGACCACTTTTGGTTGATCCTGACCACTACAGACGTGGAACATCCCACACAAGCTGCAGTTTTGGAGTTGCTCTGACCCAGTCGTCTAGACATCACAGTTTGTCCCTGACATAAACGTCAGGGACAAAATGTTCACTTGCTGCCTAATATATTGCCCCCCCCCCCTCACTGCCATTGTAATATATCCCACCCCCCCTCACTTCCAGGTGCCATTGTAATATATCCCACCCCATGTTAAAGCTGAACTCTAGGCACACAAGCGCTGCGCCCATTATGAGGGGTTTCCACCATCCCTTCACTGAGTTCCTGGCTCTGCACAACTGCTGTACCCCATTATGAGGGGCTCCCACCATCCCTGTGCTGAGTTCCCAGGTCTGTACACCTCCTGTGCCCACTATGAGGGGTTCCTACCATCCCTGTGTTGAATTTCCAGGTTTGCACGCATGCTATGCCCATTATGAGGGGTTCTACCAACCCTGTGCTGAGTTCCCTGGCCTACCGACCTGCTGTTCCCATTATGATGGGGGCTCCCATCATCCCTATGCTGAGCTCCTGGCTCTGCACACCTGCTATGCTCATTATAATGCGTTCCCTCCATTCCTACTGGATAACATAACATTCATTTTATATTAATGAGAATGTTACAGGAGGAGTTGGAACACACCAATGTGGGCAGGAACATAGAAAATTCCCTATTGGACATGAGAAGAGTTGAGATTTATGGCAGGGAGATATCGCTGTTGAAGCATCCAGGGCATAACAGTAGTAAGGAGTGGACTCCCCCTATAGCTTAAACGACACATCTAGATGGACTTGACTTAAAGCATACTATCCCTATTACAGCTCACAAGAAAAAAATCTAGATGCACATGGACACAATTCAAAACAGCATACCAAAAAACTAGCAAAAGAAACCCACTCCTTCGTTTATCCCCCAACATGCTCTTATGAGCGGTGACATTTTAAATGCAATCATGCACAATGGCAGCACAGCAACATTTGAGGACAAGTCAACATCTACTAACCTTCGGTGGAGCCTCGTCTGAACCCGCGGAGTCCCAGGACACAGTCACTTGTCTCCTGGACTCCATTCTCATCCGCTCCTCTTGCTGAATCTTCTCCTCTTCTAGGATCGTACTGCAAAGAGAGAGGACAGGCGTGCTGAGTGTCAGACTCTCAACAAGACACAGTGGAGATATCTTCTATGCGTGTCATTTCAGCTGTCACTGTGTTTCCCCCCTTGCACAAAGGAAAGGCTATATTTCCATCACAGACTAATCCTCCAGCAGACCCGCAACACAAGTTAAATTGGAAGCTTGTTTACTACAAGATAAAGTATTGCTGCACAAAGCAGCGACAGAAATTTAACATCCTACCATAGGAATGCAGCAAAAACTGCGAACCTGGAACTGAATTTATTTTTTTAAATCAGATTTTATTTTGCAAAAACTTTTTTAATTTACAACATTTTCTTGGCATACAAAAAGACAAACAAATATGCATTTCTGAACACTGCTCAAGATCAAACAAAAGTCTGAAGGGTACGATGCTGAGCACCTCAGTGTTCCAGTTCCTATGTTAGAAGAGTTACCAAGACAAAGAGTCCAAAATCACACAATGGGCAATCTGTAAAGTCCCTGGACACCCACAATGTGCATTGGAGAGAGAGAAGCTATGCAAAAGGACTAACCAATGCCTTGACCCAGCGGGACCACATTTGGTCAAATTACCGCAGGGCAAAATGTTAGTTTTATCAAATGATTTTTTTTCCTATTTCTTTCACGGTTCCATTCCTTAATGGAGGCGGGAACCACAAAGACCCAATTTTAACAGCTAACTATAGGGTAAAGTTTTTATCGTATAGTTCTCTTTAGGGTCATGGGAGGACATTTATGAAGCTAGTGACCCAAAGCTCATTATATAGCGGCCTATTTTCAATTACATGATGAGAGCACCGCAGCTGGGACGGATCCTGACAATACTGTCGAGGTCCACCCAGCTGGCTGATTGACAGCGGGCTCTGCCTATCTAGAGGCAGAGCCAGCTGTGCCCGCCCCCTTCCCCATCCGTTCCTCCAGTCAGATCTGGATGATCGGAGAGGGGGGAATCCATGCAGGGAGCCATGACAGACAGTCACTGCTCTGCAGGGAGATGATAGAAGGAGGGAACACCCCAAAATCTTGTCCTGACAGTTTACATGTTAGTGCAAATAAAGTATCATGGACCGTACTCAACTGTATGTCCAGCCAAAAACTATTTCCTTTATTCTTGGATAGAGTGGTGAAGGGTAGAACCCTTGTTGGTTTCACTGCTACCTGGGACTCCATTAGAGAGCTTTCCTTTGCTTTCTGTCCAGGTGACAACAGTTTTACCAGACAGGAAAGGAGGGAAAATCTCCAACAGGGACAACAATACCAAGCTGATGGGGCTCCTAGTCCCCTACTCCATGGGAGGGGGAAGAAAAAAACCATGTAGATTTTTGCCTGTATTGCTGTTCGATATTTACCTTCACTGATGAGACAGTTGTCACTGGGAAGGAAGTGAGGGGAAATCTCTGTAATGGAGCTGGAGATAGCAGTAAAAAGTGAGGGGTCTGAAAGCTTTAACCTTGAAGCCATAGAAACATGTTCTTGTTAAAAGCTCAACCCAGTCTCAATATATTTCTATAGGCTGCCAGGTTGTTAGCCATTTGTTGACACTTGTGTTACCCATAATGTTGCCCAAATGTTGACGCTTGTGTTACCCATAATGTTGCCCAATTGTTGACGCTTGTGTTACCCATAATGTTGCCCATTTGTTGACGCTTGTGTTACCCATAATGTTACAAATGACGATTCTGCGGCGCTAAGCGTCATTTATATTCTTGGGACTTTTTGGTCTTTATTGTGGCAGCTTCATCACCCATATTAGCAGTTTATTATCTATAAGTGCCGATCATTAGATTCAACAATTACCCATAATGTTACCCATTTGTTGATGCTTTTCATGCATTGAGAAAATAACTAGAGTTTTATGGATATATACAGAGATCATTTATACTGTGCTCTGTGACCAAAGAACAAAAAGGTCATATATTGCAACTTATCAGTTCTTAGATGTGGTGGCTGCATTAGTTTTCTATTACCAGGCTCAGTTCTATTATTTTTACTTTGTTGATCCTGCCAGTTACACATTCCTTGTTCTAGGGTGACAACACTGTACAGTAGCTATAAAGGGAGTAGCGCTGTCCCCCTAGGACAAATGTGTTGGGAGTACACAACAACCACAGCCCTCTTCATAACATAAGGGGGAGGTGTTCTGCAGTCTACTGAGAGAACTGGAAGGGCTGATAAGGCTGCTTACGTTAACATTACAGAGTACAGAAGACAAAGGTGGATTTCTGGGCAGGATCAACAGGTACTTTTTTGCACTTACTGAACAGATCTAATAGAAAACTTTCAATAGTATACTTAACGTGTCAAAAGGAAGAAAACAGAAGTTCAATGATAGGGATGACATAAACTTTAAGTTTTAAGGCCAGAGAAAGCCAGACATATTGTGTTTTCAGCAATGCATGTCTATATACAATGCCTGGCCAAACAAAGTGCCACAGATGTGAATATTACATTGGACCGCCTTTAGCTTTGATTACGGCACACATTCACCGTGACATCGTTTCTATAAGCTTATGAAATGTCACAACATTCATTTCCATCCAGAGTTGCATTCATTTATCAGCGAGATCTTGTAGTGATGATGGGAGAGTCGGAGCACTGTGTAAAGTCTTCTCCAGCACATCACAAAGATTCTCAATGGGGTTAAGTTCTGGACTCTGTGGTGGCCAATCCATGTGTGACAATGATGTCTCATGTTCCCTGAGCCACTCTTTCCAATCTGAGCCCGATGAATCCTGACATTGTCATCTAGGAATATGTCCAATGTGCCATCAGGGGGGAAAAAAAACCATTGATGGAAAAACCTGATCATTCCGTATACTCAGGGGGGCAGCTGACCTCATTTGTTGGGCACATACCGTGTTTCCCCGAAAATAAGACACTGTCTTATATTTTTTTTGGCTCAAAAAACACACTAGGTCTTATTTTTGGGGTAGGTCTTATTTTTTTTTTAATGTACAACAATCCACACTTATTCATGTACAAAAATATCGTGATCAGGGCAATCAGGGGTGCCGTACCTTTCCAAGAGCAATTTGCTAACTAATCACTGGCCAGAATGAGGGAAGCGCGCTTTCACTATCGATTCCTCACAGGCGGAGTGCATTTGGTATCACTCCGCCTGTGACAGGAGCCGGCGCTATAGAGGAAGCATTGGCTTATGCAGCTCTGCTCCCTCCGCTGCCGCCTCACTTCCTCTAGCGCTGGCTTCGTTGGCACTGCTGATTCTCTCCCGCCACTCTTCAAGTTCCCCCTTATGCCACCACCAGCCCTGGGAATAGTCACAACTAGGTCTTATTTTCGGGGTAGGTCTTATATTTTAGCAATTCCCAAAAATAGTACTAGGTCTTATTTTCAGGGTAGGTCTTATTTTTGAGGAAACAGGGTAACATTGCTGAACCTACACCTGACTAACTGAAGCAACCCCAGATCATAACACTTATCCAATGCAAGGCTCTGACCTATTTGCTTAGCTAAATCCAGATGGTGACTTTTTTTTTTTTTGTGGCCAGGCAGTGTATTACTCTCTATACGTTACCATCCAGGAACGACTGTATATGGTCAAGAATATATACATGCGGCACAGGCTCCATTACTGATGAGACTGGAGATACAAAGCCCCAGGAATGTCAGAAATGTCATGTGTAAGGTTACAAATATTCAGGATAACTTCATAATATACATCTAACACTCTAAAAATAGGAGCTCGTCTAGAAAGAGGATTTTTGTGTTGCTCTCATTATTTGAAATCTTAGGGAACTTATGAAATTAGTTGGCGAAGTGTAAACAAAGAAATGTGATGAATATAAACCAGAGATATTGAAGTGGCTGGCCGGATAGGAGGAACATAAAGATCAAGCACATGTCTCCAGGCAGAGGGAAAATGGCATGCTCTGTGTGCGATGCTGTAGAGGTTAAATGCATGTAAAGTCAAAGCAAGGTTCCGTTACGTAGACGACATTTTTGTGATCGATGAGTTTGTCTTTTTTCCCCCTTAATTCACTACATCCAAATTTGGGTTTATCTAGTCTCTTTTTTTTTTAAAATGTATAACAGTTTATTAAATAACAATACAAACACATAAGTTAAAATGTTATGCATGTGTCTTGCTCCAGCATGAACAGGACACATGCTAAAGCAAGACAAATGCACAAATTATTATTTTTTTTTAAATCTTACGTTTATTGAACAAAAGTAAGTTCCGACATATAAAGTGATCGTTAAGGTCTGCACGCAGGCAGCCAGCTATTCAACATCAATTAAAAATAGCATCAACACCGCAGGCGAGAAAGCATGCATCAAGGCACAGTAGCATAGTAATATATTCTGATTATATAGTCTCTTTTAAGTCACCTGTTGCCTTCATTGATGCCAGCGTCTGTTGGCCAGGAAAATAGGATTTTCACTAATCCTACAGACAGGTAAAGCCACCTTGCACTTTTCTAGCACGCAACCTAAACATTTAACTGTCTTAATTTGTATTTATTACAGATATTTATATAGTGCCGACAATTTATGGAGCACTTTTGCATATTGTACATTCACATCGGTCCCTGCCTGCCCTTAAGGAGCTTACAATCTAATTTCCATATCTTACAAGCATACTAGTGCCAAATTAGACAGGAAACACTTCACCCACCAGCATGTATCCACAGGACTTGCTGAGGTTTAGAAGGTACAGATTGATCACATGTGTGACAGGTTTTTGGAGCGCTGTCATGCCAAGACAGTCCTTACTAAAGCTATGTCACCAGCCCATGCAAGGGCCAATCAACTTAACTGAGGCTAGACAAAATACTGGCATCCCGTTCAAACCTACAACTCATTGTCTGAGTGAATAAGGAATGTTACCAGCAGACACTGTCACATCCTTGCAGGCCACAGAGAACGGAGTCCAGAGGTCAGGAATCCTCCACTTGATACTTACAAAAGAATGAAAAACCTGATTCACTAATCATAGCTCACCTCAAAAGACAAACATCG